GGTGGATCCAAAGAAGACAAAGGTGGTTCAGAGTTGGCCCATACCGTCCTCAGCTACTGAGATTCAGAGCTTTCTCGGCTTGGCCGGTTATTATCATCTTTTCGTGGAGAGTTTCTCGTCTATTGTAGCGTCTTTGACCAAATTGACCCAGAAGGGTTCTCCATTCAGGTGGTCGGATGAGTGTGAGGAGAGATTTCATAAGCTCATGACTGCCTTGACCAAAGCTCCAGTTCTAGTTTTGCCCTTAGCTTCCTGCTCTTATACAGTATAATGTGATGCTTCTCAGATTGGTATTGGGTGTGTCTTGATGTAGGAGGGTGGAGTGATTGCTTATCTCTACGGTGTGTCTTGTGAGGTATTTATGAATCATCGGAGTCTCCAACACTTGTTCAAACAAAAGTATCTAAATTTGAGACAGCGGAGATGGTTGGAGCTGCTAATGGACTATGATATCACCATTCTGTATCATCCTGGGAAGGCCAATATGGTGGCCGATGCCTTGAGTAGAAAGGAGGTAAGTATGGGTAGCCTTGCATTTATTCTTGTTGGTGAGAGACCGTTTGTAATCGATGTTCAGGCCTTGGCCAATTAGTTCGTGAGATTAGATGTTTCGGAGCCCAGCCAAGTTATAGCTTGTGTGGTTTCTCGGTCTTCCTTATATGATCGCATCAGAGACTGCTAGGATGATGATACCCATTTGCTCATCCTTAAAGACAGGGTTCAACACAGTGATGCCAAGGATGTTACTATTGGGGATGATAGGGTGTTGAGGATGCAGGGTCGGATCTGTATGCCTAATGTAGATGGGCTATGTGAGTTAATTCTTAAGGAGGCCCACAATTCGCGGTAATCCATCCATCCGGGTGCCGCGAAGAAGTACCAGGACTCTAGGCAGCACTATTGGTGGAGGATAATGAAGAAGGATATAGTGGGGTTTATAGCTCGGTGCCTAAACTATCAGCAGGTGAAGTATGAGCATCAGAGACCGGGCGGATTTCTTCAGAGGCTTGAGATACCGGAGTGGAAGTGGGAGCGTATCACCATGGATTTTGTAGTTGGGCTCCCACAGACTTAGAGTAAGTTTGATGCAATTTGGGTGATTATTGATTGGCTGACCAAGTCCACGCACTTTATTCAAGTTAGGACTACTTATTCTTCGGAGCAGTTGGCTGAGATATACATCCGCAAGATTATTCGCCTTCAGGTGTGCCAGTGTCCATCATTTCAAATCGGTGCACGCAATTTACATCACAGTTTTGGAGAGCAGTGCAGCGAGAGTTGGGCACCCAAGTTGAGTTGAGTACAACATTTCACCCTCAGACGGACTAACAATCTGAGCGCACTATTCAGATATTGGAGGATATGCTACGTGCTTGTGTCATAGATTTCGGGGGTTCTTGGGATCAGTTCCTGTTGCTCGCAGAGTTTGCCTACAACAACAGCTACCAATCAATCATCCAGATTGCTCCGTATGAGGCTTTGTATAGGTCTCCGGTGGGTTGGTTTGAGCCGGGTGAGGCTAGGCTATTGGGTACTGACTTGGTTCAGGATGCTTTGGACAAGGTTAAATTGATTCAGGATCAGCTTTGCACGGCGCAATCTAGACAGAAGAGTTATGCCGATCGGAAGGTTCGTGATGTTGCTTACATGGTTGGGGAGAAGGTACTGCTCATGGTTTTACCCATGAATTGGGTTATCAGGTTCGGAAAGAATGGCAAGTTAAGCCCTCGGCATATTGGGCCGTTTGAGGTGCTTTAGAGGATTGGAGAGGTTGCTTACAAGCTTGCCTTACTACCTAGTCTATCGAGTGTGCATCCAATATTTCATGTTTCTATGATCCGAAAGTATGTCGGCGATCCGTCTTATGTTTTGGATTTCAGCACAGTTCAGTTGGATGGTGATTTGACATATGATGTGGAGCCGGTGGCCATTTTGGATCGGCAGATTCAAAAGTTGAGGTCAAAAGGCATAACTTCAGTGAAGGTGTAGTGGAGAGGCCAGCTAGTTGAGGAGGCTACATGGGAGACCGAGCAGGAGATGCGGAGCAGATATCCACGTTTATTCGAGACTCTAGGTCATGTTCGAGGACGAACGTTTGTTTAAGAGGGGGAGGATGTAACGACCCGGACGGTCGTTTTGAGAGATGTAGCCTTGTTCCCCCATTTACTGCTCCTTCCATGCTTAATAGTTGCTATGTGGCTTGTGGGGGCAGTTCGTTCGGGTCCGAAGAGGTTTCGGAATGAATTGAGACACTTAATCTCAAGGTTGGAAGCTTAAGTTAAAAAGGTTGTCCGGATGTTGACTTGTGTGAAAATGGCTCCGGAATGGAGTTTTGATGGTTCTGTTAGCTCCGTTGGGTGTTTTTGGACTTAGGAGCGTGTCCGGATAGTGATTTGGAGGTTCGTAGTTGAAATAGGCTTGAAATGGCGACAATTGGAAATTTAGAAGTTTGACCGAGGTTGACTTTGTGGTTACCGGGCTCGGATTGGTGTTACAGGAGTTAGAGTAGGTCCATTGTGTCATTTGTGACTTGTGTGCAAAATTTAAGATCAATCGGATGTGATTTGATAGGTTTCGGCATCGAATGTAGAAGTTAGAAGTTTAAAAGTTTATTAGGCTTGAATCGATGCACGATTCATGATTTTAGCGTTATTTGATGTGATTTGAAGACTCGACTAAGTTCATATCATGTTTTAAGACTTGTTGGTATATTTGGTTGAGGTCCCGGGGGCCTCGGGTGGAGTTCGGATGGTTAACGGATCAAAAATTAGCTTAAGTGTTATGCCGGTGCTTCAGGTCTGGTGTCATCGCAACTGCAGTAGGTTTAGTCGTAGGTGCGGAGCCGCAGAAGCGGCTAAGCTTGCGCAGCTGTGAAGAGGAGGAAGGTCTCTAGGGGTCGCAGGCGCGGAAGAGGTTCCGCAGATGCGGATGCGCATCTGCATAAGGTCGACCGCAGAAGCGGATTTGGATAGGCAGCAGATGCGTCGCAAAAGCGAAGGAAGGTTCGCAGATGCGGTCCCGCAGGTACGAGAGTTCGCTAGTTAAGTGGGTTTCTCATAAGCATGGATTTCTCCGCAAAAACGGATGCGCAGGTGCGAGCCCCACGCTTTGCAGGTGTGGAAATGCCTGGGCAGTATTAAATTCGAGGGTTTCCGAGATTCTATCATTTTTGGACTTTGCAAACTTGGTCTAAGGCGATTTTTGAGAGGGATTTCGAAGGGATTCTTGAGGTAAGTCTCTTGTGGTTATTTTAATTCAATAATTATGTTTCCCCATTGAATTTTACACTTAGTTTGTGTATTTTTGAGGTGTAATTTTGGGAGTTTGAAGCTAGGAATTTTGAGAGTTTAATTTGGCAATTTGAGTGACAATTTAGTGTCGGAATTTGGTAAGTTTGGTATGGTTTGACTCGTGGTTGAATGGGCTTCCAGATTTTTTTAACTTTTATTGGATTCCGAGACGTGGGCTCGGGGGCCGGCTTTTGAGTGAATTTTTGACTTTTGATTAAGAACTTAGTATTTTCATATGGAATTGATTCCTATAGCTTGAGTTGATTGTATCAAATTGTTTATGGTTAGATTCGAGGCGTTCGGAGGCCGATTCGCGAGGCAAAGGCTTGCTAGCGGAGTGATTCGATTTGCTTGAGGTAAGTATCGTATTTAAACTCGGTTGTGGCACCAGTTTCCTGAATTGTTGTGACTGCCACGTGCTTTTGGGTACGTACATGCGTGGGAATAATTCCCATGTGCGGCACCGGGATTGTATATTCATGTTTGGGTTGTGCTCGGGCTCTTATAAGCCCAGAAATGACTGTTGAGCTTCAAGCTTTGGTATCTAGCATGTTGTATCAGTTTATGTGATCTAGTTGAGCTATGATGAGACTACTTAGAGGTTTAATCCCTGAACGAACTTAATAAATGCTTTTCATTGTTGAAATTGCCGGTTTGGACTACGATAGCACACATTGCACATACCTGCACTTTAGCATGTTATTTACACTAGTCTAGGGACATGAGAATCATATTTCATTTATCTTATACAGGTATACTTGCTTTATTGCTTCTATATGATATTTTGGACTGGGATTGCGGCTATGCCGGGTGAATTATGTTATTGGAACGTGAGTTGTCCGTGCAGCACGTGAGTTGTCCTTGCGGATCCATATATTGATATTATTAACACGTGATTTGTCCGTGAGGATCCATATATTGATATTATTGACACGTGATTTGTCCGTGTCGCACGTGAGTTATCCGTGCAGGTTCTATGGTTAGCACGTGAATTGTTCGTGCAACACGTAAGTTGTCCGAGCAGTGTGTGGAACTTGTATTTTCTTAATCATTTATCTGATTTACTTGTAACTTTCCTCTGCATGCTATAATATTGTTGGGCAGGGTATTTGAGAAATAGTGCACATGCACTCACGGGTGTTCTTCTCACGAAGCCTTATGAGTTAGCATTAAATTTTATGTTGTGCTGGCCTAAAAGGATAGGATTGCACTGATTTAACTAGTGACCTCAGCGAATTAAGCTTTTCTTACCTTGCCTTGTTTATTTGCGATACTTATTGAGTTGGTTGTACTCACATTACACAATGCACCTCGTGTGTAGATCCAGGCATTTCCAGACACGGCGGTTGTTGATCGTGAAGTCTTACCTGTTCGGAGATCATAAAGGTAGTTGTTTGAGCGTCTGCCTACCCTGACTCTCCTTTCCCCTATATTTCAGTCTTATTTATTTAGCCCTACTTCCTAGACAGTGTATCAGACTATGTCATTATATGTAGATGCTCATTTACTCGGTGACACCCAGGTTTTAAGGATTTTTTGTATTTAGTTGTGATGTTTCATCTGATTTTATGAAATTTTTATTGATTTAAACCTGTTTCTAGCATGTTTTGCTTTTAAAAATGTCGGAATATGTGAGTTGTCGGCTTGCTTAGTATAATAATAGGCGCCATTACTATGTGTCAATTTTTGGGTCGTGAAACCCCATCTTCCAGAGCCGGACTCTTGCTGGTTATAAATGTTAATCCCCTTCTACCTCTGGAAGAATCTCCTTTCCTATTCCTATTTCGTTATTTCCTCTCTTATTCTCCCTCTTTATCTGCTTCTTACATTGTTTTCTTCACTTCATGTTGAGTCTTCATCTCTCTTCTTTGCTGAATATTTACTCTGACCCCTGACATTTCCTTAGTACTGATCACAACCTTCTTATAGTCGCAATTGACAAACTTTTAACTTAATTCAAGAACCCCCATTTTCTTTATTTCATTCTCCTCTCACTTAAGTCAAAAAGCCACAAGTAAAAGCGTCAGGGTTAAAGAAGGAAGTATGGAGGTTGCAAGAGTTTATGAAGGTTCTAACGTGAATAGCCACAACGGCTTTATACTTCCAAATGAAATTTTTCCTCCACCTTCTAAAGTTCTTGATTCTCTCTGGATTTCCAATTCCTCCCCCACTTTTCATGGTAATATTCTTCTCTACCCTGCTAAAAATGTAGAGTAGTATTTATTTATTTATTTTTACTTTTTCTTGTATGTTTATAGTTCGTGACTTTTATTTTTGGTTGGATGGTGTGTTGACCCTTTGATGATTATTAGATTATAGCCTATGGTCATTTGATTCGTTATAAGTTCAGATTTATGACCTTGGTATCTACCTTCTTGTGGTCCTCTCTGTTTTTATCCAGAAAGAGATCGAATTTTGGTCCAAGTTTGTCTTTTTTGGTGTTTGTTAATAATTCAGTATTTTGAAATAGGATATTTAGCAGTCAAGCAGAGGAAATAGACACATTATGGTTCAATTCATTAGAATAAAACACATATATTTTTGTGAATTTGAAAATGAACCAAGATTTAATACATTTGTGAACTTATTCTTCCTTGGTTGCTCTGTTTCAGGCTCTGTTTCCATGGTTAATTTCAACGATACCCGAGGAAAAAAGACTAAAGAGAGGTCATTCTTCCCTTCACTTGACAAGGAAGAAAATAGCAACGAGGATTATCAAGTATCCTTTCACCAACCCGAAAAGAAAAGCCGACTCTTGCCAAAACAAGTTCAGTTTCTTGCGAAAAGTTTTGAGGTAGAAAACAAGCTTGAACCAGAGAGAAAAATCCAATTGGCTAAAGAAATTGGATTGCAGCCTCGGCAGGTTGCTATTTGGTTTCAAAACCGGCGAGCCCGGTACAAGAGTAAACAACTTGAGAAGGATTATGATGTGCTAAAAGCTAGTTTTGATAAACTCAAGGATGAATATGATAGCCTCTTCAAAGAGAATGAGAACTTGAGAAATGAGGTACTTTATACCTCCTATCATTCAACATTATTCAAGTATTTCAAGATAATTTAATTTTTAGGCGGTCGTTGAGGAACGTCGAGAATTATAAATTTTTTTTTTTTGGACGAATCGGAGCAACTCATTCATCGTGATAGCAACGTCATTTTGTCACTTACTATACCCATCGCGCATTTAAGTTGTCTGCCAAGGATTCTACCCGCCGCTCGATAGAACTTGTGTTGAGAATTGTAGTTAAAAGTCCTGATTAGTATTAGAAGTATCTCTAATCTTACTCATATTTTTCCTTTTTTGTTCAATAGGTTCATTTGCTTAAAGAAAAGTTGTTCGACAGAGTGAATGGGGAGCAAAATTCAGAACAAAAGGAACCCATTAGTCCACTTAATACAGAAGCTCAGAATTCTACTACAAATATGCAGAATTTAACAATGATGGTCTGCAAACAAGAAGATGCAAGTTCAGCAAAAAGTGATATTCTTGATTCAGACAGCCCATGTTATGCTGACGAGAATTATACTTCTTTTTTGGAGCCTACTGATTCTTCACATGTATTTGAAACAGAAACATCGAATTTTTCTCAAGAAGATGACAGCCTATGCTGGAGTCTGTTGCCCTCATTATGCTTCCCAAAGCTTGAAGATGACCTACCAGTAAATTCTTGCAATTTGAGTTTCCAAATTGAGGATCAATCTTGGTTCTGCCATTATTAATTTTCTTGTTCAACATTGGCTCGATTATAAGGGGTTAAAATCCTTTGTTATTCCCTTTCTACTTTTTAAACTTCTGCAATAACAATAATAATACTAATCTGTATATAGATTCATTAGGAGTTTAGGACGAGATGTAAGATCTTTGTTTCTTCCAAAATGTTCTAATTGGCCCTTTCTTTAGCTCAAAAACAAATGGTACTATTGAGGTGAATTCAGTTTATTTTGAAGTTAAAACAACCAAAGTAGGATCATTTGGTCTTATTCAGTGAACTTGTACTGTCATGAATCCCCTTCTGGCATATATACACAACCAAAAAGAACAGGGGGATTACCTATGTGCTGCTTCTGAGAACTAGGAGTGCTCATGAAAAAACAAAAATTCCAACCAAATCGAAATCCGAATTAAACCATACAAAAAATCGATAATATTTTGGTTTAATTTGGTTTTGATTTTGAATTTTAAAAAGAGCAATTTATGCAAATACCCATTGAGCTTAAAATAATGTCTTTCCTACCCATTTGAATACTATTTACAATATATACATACCCAAATAAACCAAATTACTCCTACCTACCCACCCATCACCCATTTGGCTTAGGCTAGTTTGATTTGACTTGACTTGGATTGGCTTGAATTTGCTTTGCTTGGCTTGAATTGGCTTTGTTTGGCTTCATTTAGTAGCTCAGTTTGACTTCATTTGGTTGACTTTGACTGGGTATTAAAAAATAATGGATAGGGGTAAACTACATGGGCAGGGGCAGGTAAATAGTTCCCTGAGTATTTGCCAAAGATCCCCTTTTAAAAATCGACCAAATTTAGTTTGGTTTTGGTTTAAATAAAGAATAACCGAAAAAAATTGAACCAAACCGAAAAGACTCATCGCAAACATTAAACCTAAAATAAACGTACTGACACGACTAATATTTAATCCTAATTGATTATTACTCTGGTTATACATTCTGCCTTATCGGTCTACACAAATTTCAAGAGATTGTAGATCTTGTGACACAACTTTCTTCCATATAATTTTAGGTTTGTTTCATCCCGTATTCTTTTAACAGCTTCACTTATTATGGTTTTACACCATTTCAAACGACCATCTCTTGTTGTAAAAGGCCAAATGACCAAAAATAAATAAATAAATGCCACAATGCATATTCAAGAGAAAAAGAGAGTATGGAGGTTGAAATGTTAAAATGAGGAGGAAGAAACGGGGCGATACCCTCTTACTAAATCGAGTTTTTAAAATGATTTGATGAGTTTGGCTTTTGTTAAACTTTGTAAAATTGGATGTTGAGACACACTCCATCGTCTTAAATTTTTTATTAAGGGAATCAAGGATTATTTTTTAAAACATGAACATCTTGATGATGCATTGTTTGTTACATGTCTAATTCTAGTTTCCCTTATAAACATATTTTAATAGCTATAATCTTCCTGGAAACTACTACAATTTGTTTTTTACAAATAGACTTCGTCACTTCTAGCACGTAGCCTTTAAGGAACAAATGAAATGAATTATATATACTCCGAATGAACTAATCTTGTTTAACGTATTTTAAGTTAAATAAAGCTTTGGAACCTTACCAAACACTAGCCTGTAGCCACAAGTTTTTGAAGGAATCAAGTATTCCTATTGTTGCCAATGATTAAGAGACAAGTCTAAGATAATGATAATTACATTTAAGATACGACCACTACTAATCATGCTCTTTTTCCACTCTCTCGTTGACTTAAAAAAAAGAGAGAGAATTCATGTATGTTTAGAAAAGTTTAAGCTTGGGCAAAGTAAATCATGTTCCAATTGAGCATTTATAGTACTTAAAATTTATTCCTATTAGACACTTTTTTGATAACCAACAAAAACTTAAAGAGTGTAATGCGCTCGGCAATGATGCAATAAAATAACCAATTAAGCGAAGACATTTGATATTTGAATCAAAAATAATAATTAAAAAATAAATTATGAGGAAAAAAAATATTTTTAAGCAACCAAAAAGAAAAAAGTAAATAACCTAATTCTAAATCCCACCCCCACCCATCCAAAACCCCATTTCTTCGGCTAAACCCATCATCACCCTCCCCGCTATCGACTTCACACCCATTTTTCTTTTGGTTTTTAGATTTAATTAATTTTTACTTTTAGATTTAACGGATTTTTTTTATTTTTAATCTAATATTTTCTGGAAGAAGAGAGATAAACGAGAAAGAAAGAGTAGAGTGGTTGGTCTCCATTTTTTTCTAGCGAACAAGGTGGTGCTATTTAGATTCAAAGAAAAAAGGAGAAGATGGCGGGGACAGTGATGGTTGATTCTTTCCTTAGTAAGAAAACCAGATATGGCAGCTAATGGTGTCAACAACACACAAAATTGAAGCGTGCGTTGATCGGGAAGAATTGTCCTGGTGTGATGACTCAATCAGCAAGACCTGCAACGAAGGGGACGAGACAACCCCGGTTCATGAAGGACAGTATCCTCAACATATGCGGGGCCCAACTCCCGACAATGCTGGGACGAACACGTTGTGGAAAGGGTTAAACTCTTGAAAGAATAGCAAAGAATGATCATGGACCACCTCTCAAGGCAGGATCGTGTAATGACGGAATTGAAGCAGGCGTTATCAGGCGCTTCCAACAACGCCAATGGTGGGGCCCCGGTTCATCCCAACGCCCCCGCAATTCAGACAGCACAAAGAACCGATAACAAGACCCCCAAGGGATGAGGTCTGCTAATAACAACTTAACTGACCCTTTCAAAAACGAGCTCGTGAGATTCATTAGAGAGATGAAATGAGCGAATGGATCAGAACGCGAAAGAGTGTCATGCTTGGATAGACCGGATTTGGGGCGCGCCGCCAGTGTTGAAGGGCCTGGATTCAAAAAAGTACACACAGTTACCGTTTAAACCAAGTGTGGTACCCGAGTTGATCCCAAAGAGGTTCAAAATTCCGGATATACCAAAGTATGATGAGACTTTAGATACGTAGGAGCTCATCACGACCTACACCACGACAGTGAAAGGAAACGATTTGGCTTAGCATGAGATCGAGTCGGTCTTGTTAAAAAAAATTGGCAAAACACTTACAAAGGGGGCCCTAACATGGTATTCCCTCTTACCTGAGCATTAAATTGATTCTTTTGATATGCTTGCAGATTCGTTCATTAAGGCCCATCCTGGAGCAAGAAAGGTTCAAGCCAGGAAGGCGGACATATTTAGAATTTCGTAGGGCAAATCCGAGCTACTACAAGAGTTTGTGATCCGGTTCCAGAAAGAAAGGATGCTGCTACCAACGGTTCGAGATTAGTGGGCAGTAGAGGCATTCACGAAGGGTCTAAACCCACTAAGTTCTGATGCCTCCGAAAAACTGAAGGAGAGCTTGCTCGAGTTTCAAACAACCACATGGGCAGATGTCCATGACCTCTATGAGTCAAAAATAAGTATAGAAGACGATCATCTTGGATTATCGGTATCGACCAAGGGATGGAGTCGAGATAAAAATCAGGACAGGTTTAAGAATGACTTTGATGCAAATCGGCGATCCTCTAGAGATTGCTTTCTACTGTACGAGAGGACCGATGGGCATAGCAACAAAGGTTTTTAGTTATTGGATAGGATTTCTCCCGAGAGAAGAGTCGATCATGACCGGAGCAACAGGTCGTTGCAGGAGAAAGAGGTACCAGGGGCCCGAGATTCTGCATATCCCTTGTTATCAGATTAAAACTTTAACATCAACCTGGTAGAGTTAGTATCGGCAAAACATCAAAGAAGCGCGGTTCTCGAAACCCATCCGATCAAACCCTAGCTAGAGGGATCGCAGTTTATGGTGTGAATACCATGGGACTCATGGCCATAGAACTGGGGACTGCCGACATCTTCATGAAGAGGTGGCGACATTGTTGAAAAATGGCCATCTTAGGGAACTTTTAAGCGACCGAGCCAAGAACACATATGGCCGAAGCCAGGACAATACGGAGACTTCGAAGATACTAGAAGGATCACCCTGGTTGACTATCAAAATGATCTTCGGAGGAAATGAAGCCAATGGTGTAACCTTTTCAATAGTGAAGAAAACAAAGATATCGGTGACTCACAACAAGAGACTCTGAGAAATAGCAGAAAACGGTATCACCTTCACGAAGGAGCACGCTAACAGACTTCTTCTGCCACACAATGACGCTTTGGTAATCTCTCTCAATGTTTTAGATTTCAAAATTAAGCTTGTTTTGGTTGATCCAGGAAGTTCAGGCAACATCATCTAATGTAGAGTTCTGAAGCAAGCAAAATTGACGGGGAACATTATTCCAGCGACAAAACACCTAGATGGCTTCATCTTGACAAGTGTGACAACGCGAGGAGATATTTTACTGTCCACACACACTGAAGGAATAACAAAGACCACCATATTCGAAGTAGTAGATGGTGATATGGTTTACAATGTAATTCTCGGAAGGTCGTGGATACATGAGATGAAGGTTGTAGCCTCACCATATCACTAGTTGTTGAAATTTCCAATGCCGGAAAGAATCGAGCAAATAAGAGGAGTCTAACTGGCAGCAAGGGAGATGAACACGGTAACTGTTTCTAGCAGCAAGGGGAGAGAGTCCAACAAATAGCAATTACAGGAACCGGTGTCTTCTCCCTTTCCGAATGACGAAGATAAAAGCGAGGAGTCATCGACGTGACCAAGTCGACCACGAAATAACCTGAGCAAGTGGCATTGTTCGAAGAAATATTGGAAAGGAAGTTTCATTTGGGAAAATGATTAAATCCCGAGCTCAGGTTGGAATTTATAAATTTTCTTAAAGATAATGTTAACTACTTTGCATAGTCGCACTCGGATATGACAAGTATCCCATTAGAGGTAGCAGTTCACAAGCTAAGTATGGATCCAAACATCCCACCGGTAAGGTAAAAGAAACACCCGATAACAGAGGTCCGAAACAGATTTGTTAAAGAAGAGGTAACCTGGTTACTCAATATCGGTTCGATTCGGGAGGTAAAGTATCCAAAATGGTAAGCCAACGTAGTTGTAGTGCCCAAAAAGAATAACAAATTTAAAATGTGCATATACTATAAGGATTTAAACAAGGCGTGCTCTAAAGACTCATTCCCGTTGTCGAACATTAATCAAATAATTGATGCTACGGCCGGACACGAACTAATAAGTTTTCTCGATGCTTAATCCGGGTACAAGTAGATCAAGATGAGCCC